CCCCACCAGGCCCCCCCGTCAGCCGTGCCGTTGGAGGCGCGGGCTCCAGGCGGCTGCTCTGCGGCAGTCGGAGCAGTCGGGAAGAGCCAGGGTTTTTCTCTTTCAGGTCACGCCGCAATGCCAGGGCCTGCGCTCCCTCTTCTCCTCCTTGGGCTGCTCAGCTGCTTCCCCCCAGGCTCGGGAGCCGCCTCTCCTCTTTTCCAGCCGCCACCCTTGCTGGTCACCTGCTTGGGCCCTCACGGAAACATCTCGCAACAGCGGGACCACGAGGAGCGCTGGGTCTCGTGCCTCTGGAGCAGCACCATGAAGCTGCGTTACCAGCCAGCCCCAGGAGGGCAACCCAAAGCAGAGGTGAAGCCACAGCCCCCACCACATTGCTTCTGGTACCTGAACTCAACCTGGGTGAAGAACACCTCTCGCTGGTGGGGGCAGGTCATACTGCAGACAGGCCTCCTTCCAGGAAGCACTCCACCACCCACAGCCTCCAGCTTCATTACAGTGCAGTGCTCATCAGCTGCATGTGCGGCACCTGAGTGCCTTCATCACAACTTGAGCATTGAGATGTCTAGGCAGGATATGCGGCTCTTTGTACTTTGGCCACAGACTCACCTGATCCATACATGGCAGCCAGTAGAGCTGGGCTGGTGTGCACGCCTCAAGAGTGCAAACTGGCAGTACCGTTTCAGCAGCCGCGGAGGCAACCCATCTGCCTTTCTCATTCCCAGCAATGAGCATGAAGACACACTACCACCCTCTGTTTACCCAAGGGCCGAGTTGCAACAGGCTTGTGCCACCTACTACAGCTACCATTTGACTGTACGCTACAGACACCACGGGCTCTATGTAGCTTCCGTCAGCATTGAGCAGATGCCTCAGATAAGCCTCAATCTCTCTCTTAAAATAGAGCCTAACTTGCTGCATGTCCTCAGTATCAGCTCCAAGCTGCTTAGCGTTCCTCACCAGTCCCTTAGCCTCTCCTGGAGCCTTCAGCCCCTCGCACTTAGGACGCTGGCCTACAGGCTGGTGGACACACAGGGTATAGGAGGCTGGTTCAGTTCCTACAATTCTTTTACTTTGCAGAGCAACTTCTGTGCTGCACCCGCTCTTCAGAGGCTTGGTGAGATGGTGGTGGCCAGCCTCTACTTTCAGGCTGATGGAAAGAAGTTCAAAGAATTGACAGGAGAATTACATCTGTTCAATGGTACACTGGGCCTAACTGCAGGCGGAGAAACTCCTACCTATGTCAGCCTTCACCCTGGCAAAACCAAGAGAGGCAATCACATTTTCAGATACAACCATGGAACTTTTTATGCAACCAAAGAAAACAACAGCAGCATTTCCACAGATGGCTCTAACACACACTATGTATTCTACCAACACCAGGAGCTTTCCTACTTATTCTCCATTGAGTTTGTGAAGTTTCATTGGTATAAGTTCAATATCTACCTTTACATGCATCAGAAAAGGGCTTTGTTTAGGTCTCTGGTAGACAGAGATCTTGAAGTCCACATTTTCAACAGCAGTCCTTCGTTTCGGCAGAGCTTTATTTATTTAGTGTGGTTTATTCCTGTACAACATCCTATGCTACAATGTGAGTGGACTTTCAATCTCCAGCTTTTTGGAACCAAAAGAGACCATCTTATTCAGAATAACACTTACACATACAATGATCATGTAAGAAATGCCACACGTTTTGTCCGTCGCTCTGCTTTACCTTTTGATCCTGAGAAGTACGCAGGGTTTGTGGCAAAAGTGAATTGCACTAGGAGTGGGCTTACACCTGCTCTTTTAAGAGTCAGAGTCAATAATTATGCTTCAAAAACCATAGAATCATTGGTGGCTTGTCAGAAAAAGCCCTGTCGGATTGACATGGTTTGGATCCAGAGACCTGTTCTTCACACCTCTCTCTTACGTCATAAAAAGGGGGCATCTTTTTACCTGTTTGTCAAACTGCTAGTAGACTGCAATGTAGGTATAACTATTAGGCCTCTGTGGCGAATCTATCCTGTTGAGGACACAAAAGCTATTCCAGACTGGTCAAGACCTATAAACTCATCTATGATGTATGGTGTAAATACAATACGCATAACTGTTCCCAGTTTTACTTTAGATTATGGGTTGTATCTGTTTTATTTCTCTGTCAATATAACTCCCGTCTGGACCAAAACGATTCTCAGGGGCTCAGATAAAATTCATATTCAGATTGACAGAACGGATCTAGTTGCAAATATTGCAGGAGGTACATTCCGAACAGTGGGTTTTTCTGATAAGTGGACTCTTGATGGCTCTTCATCTTATGATCCTGATTCAAACAAAGGACTAAAGGGAATCCAGTTTACGTGGTACTGCACTAAAAGGGTATCAGACTATGCAAAAATGAAATTGAGTGTAGGAAAGAAATGTCATCCAGCCCAGAGAGATTTGAAATGGTTAACATCTTCAGGTCCAGTTCAGGCAGTGGCACCAGAAACCCTCCGAGGAAACACTATATATTACTTTCGTCTGGTGATTCGAAAAGACACAAGACAGAGTTATGCTGACCAAACTGTACATGTGAAGCCTGGATCCCCACCTCTTCTGAATGTGGTATGCATTGAAAACTGTGGTAGAACTGTAATCCCAACAGAAAGACTTACATTATCTGGAAAGTGCCTAAACTGCAGAATAAGCAGCCAACCAGTCTATCACTGGTCCCTTTTTTCTACAGAAAATAATTCTACAGAAATTAGATTTGATTGGTCTTCCAGAACCTCAACAGGGAGGTCTGGGGCTTACCTGTCTATACATGCTCTGAGCTTTATGAGTACTGCCTATCGATCCTGTGTACTTCTACTAAAAGTAAGTACTTGGGATGGTAGGTCATCAATCTACAGATACTCGTTTAAAATAAATTCTCCTCCACGGGTTGGAAAGTGTACCATCAAGCCACACTGGGGAATCGCATTTGTGACAAAATTTGTTGTTCGATGCAGAGGATTTTCTGATAGCAATTTACCTCTGACCTATAAAGTAATAGTAGCTTCCGATGTACCAAAAACTACCAAAATAAATTCTGTAGAGGAAAATACATTTGGCACAATTCTGTATTTTGGTTATCAGCCTGAAACTCCTCCATCTTTTCTCCCAGTTGGAGTACCCTCTCAGAAGTATACTTTGACAATTTATGTTCAAGTCTATAATTCCCTTGGGGCATTTACCCAAGTGAGCTTATATGTAAAAGTGCAGAACCCAGTTGAAAGTCGACCACTGGCTATTGTGTTTCATGAACTACTTGCCTCAGTAAGTGGTTCAAGTGCACCAATGACATCTTATCTCCAAACTGGAGATTATTTTAATGCAGGATATTTGGCTTACATTGCAGCCTCAGTCTTAAATTATATTAAAGGTGCACCAACTCTCCAAATATCTAAGGCTCAACTTCGGGAAAACCTCATTAAAATAGCCGTGAAGATTTCAACTGAGAGCACAGTAGAAATTAATCAAGTAGTTGCTTCTATTTTTCAAGTCACAGAGGAAGCTGGTGAAATAAATGTCAGATCACAAGAGCTTGCCATTAGGAAACTGAGAGAAGTAACTGAAGTGCTGAAAATACAAAGGAATGAGAGCCATTGGTCTGAACAAACAGAAATTCAGACCAGTGGAATACTAAGATGCTTGTCCAACATCCTGAGAGCTTCTCTTTTACATCGGAGGAATGTCAACGTAGATGGAATTAAACAAGTTTTCTCCATCATGGAAAATTTAACCGATGTAGTTTTCCAGGGCAAAGTCCCTGGAGAAATTGAAACTGTAATGGAAACAAAAAACTGGAGTATCACTTTGAACAAAAATGAAAATTGGAATGCTACAAATGATTTCTCTACCAGAAAAAACTGCAAGAATTGTTTTTATCCAAAGCTGAAAAAAGGGAATTATTCAGAATTGCCCAGGGATGCTGTGGTTTCCACTGCCCTTTATGAGTTTAATGAGAACCCGTTCCCTTGGTTAGGTTATACATCAGAAATCAAAACAACGGTGTTTGGGTTCAAAATGACAGAGACCAAGGCTAATGGGGATCTAATCGGGATCACGCCTGAAGGGGCAGACATTATTATTGCTAGGAAAGATAAGGAATCTTCAACTTTTCAGTTAGCGATAGGGCCTGATAAAACACAACATTACACAACTGGAGGATTTAGTGTTGAAGTGAACAGAAATACCAAGGAGGTATATATCCAGATTGTGACAAAATTAAAAGTTACTTTCAAGGTGTTAGTATTTGCAGGTGCTAATGTCACTCATGCTTCTCCTATAGCCACTTTTTCTGCGTTTCACAACATGCCAACAGCTGCAAGCAAAAATAAGCCATCTCATGCTGACTGCAACATTAAGGCTCCTTACGTTATCTGTCTCCCAAAGTCACTGTTGAGAGTCACAGCCCAAGAAAGTGGTACTGACAGTACTGGTAGTCATAATATCTCTATCATCCTGCTGTCACACTATGTGGTAAGGTATCAAAACACGAGACTAGTGAGCATATCCATTTTTAGTGATCAGTGCTTATTTCTGGATGGAGTTCAAAGTCACTGGAAAGAAGGCATGTGCAGGCTTGGCTCTTTTACCGATTGGCAAAGGGTGCATTGCATCTGCAATATGAAGTGGAGTCCCAGAAGACTGTTAAACCACACAGCATCAAACACATCCACTTTCAACATCAGGTTCCTGGCAGCCAAAGTAATAGTTACCCCCAACACAGTAGATCTGGAAAAATCCTTGATAGCAGACATACCTAAAAACCCTGTGACCCTTTTAACAGTGCTCTTTATTTTTTTAGTCTACTTTCTTTTGTCCTTCTGGGCCGTGAAAAAAGACAGGGCTGATAGAATCAGCAAAGACAGGATTATCGTTCTGCCAGACAATGACCCCTTTGACAAAGTGTGCTTTTTGCTCACTTTATACACAGGCAGTCGCTTGGGAGCTGGAACCACGGCAGATGTTTTTCTTCAACTCATTGGTCAGGATGGCACAAGTGATGTCCATTGTTTACAACACCCACATTTTCCATCTTTCCATCAGGGAAGCACTGACTCTTTTTTGTTAACTACTAAGAAAGATTTAGGAGACATTTGTGCCTTGAGGGTCTGGCACAATAACAAAGGCCCTTCTCCAAGCTGGTTCTTAAGCAGAGCCAAAGTTGAAAATATGTACACTAAGAAGATCTGGTTCTTTATTTGCAGGAAATGGCTTGCTCTTGACAAGGGCGATCACTTACTAGAAAGGACATTTACTGCCATGAATCCAAAAGCACCTCTATCCAGAATCGACTATTTTTTTATTAATCTTGCTGAAAACCTGATAGATGGTCATCTGTGGTTCTCGATTTTTGCTCATATTGTCACTGGCACTTTCAGTAGGCTCCAAAGGTTATCATGTTGTTTAGCAATATTATTATTAAACCTGCTTGTTAACATTATGTTCTTTAATGCTGACAAGAGTGAAGAATCTCCACTACACTTGAGGTATTTGAGATCAATAGCAGTAGGAGTTGAAAGTGCTTTGGTTACCATACCTGTGCAAATGATTATAATTGCCTTCTTCAGGTATTCCCAGAAGGAACCTTCTTCCTGGGGTGTGGCTCAGAAGCACCCAAAGGAAAGTCCAGCCCTCATGTCTGGAAATCTTAAGAACTGGAAGGAACACTTACAAAAATGGTACCTTTCAGAAACTTCAGCACAGCCTAAGAGTACTAGTTCCTTGGAGAACTTTCCTGGTGCTAGTAATTCACAGAGCTTCCAGAATTACAGAAAGATAATAAGCCAAGGAACTCCCCAAAACTGGAGTAACTGCACAATTTCCGAAAGAGATGCAAATGTAATTGCAGCAGAGAAGGACACAAGAACACAGGCTAAGGCCTGGCAGAGAAGACAACCATCAAATTCCAATTTTAGTAATAATAATGCAGAAGAAGGAGACAACTTTCAGAGAGAAAGGAAACCACTAAGTATCATCTCCATGCCCTTTCGCAAGAGACCACAGATAGTTTTTTGCTGGTGGTGTGTCTATCTCTCTTGGATATTAATTATAGCTGTAACTGGGCTATCGTCATTTTTCATTGTATTATATGGTTTGTCTTATGGCTATCAGACTTCATTAGAGTGGCTTTTAGCATCTGTAATTTCCTTTTTTGAGAATGTGTTTCTTCTTCAAACCCTAAAAATAATTTTTTTCTCAGCAGTGAGTACAGCTAGTCCAAAATACTGTGAAAACATCACATGGTTAACTCGGGAAAATTATTCTGAAATTAAGTTGGATAAAGCAACTATGAATGCAGATGAGATGAGAGAGATGCACTGTAAACTTGTTGAAATCAGAGGCAGTAAGCAGTATAAGCCTTTAGAAGCTGATGAAATTGCAATCATGTTGAAAAGGGCAAAAATTAAAAACAATGCACTTGTTTTTCTAAAAGATTTCATCAGTCACCTTGTTTTTTTGATACTTATATTAAATCTTGCCTATTCCACTGAGAACATCAATAGTTTTCACTACAACCAATTTATTCATAATCAGTTCTCTCTCAGACTCTCCAGTGTAGATAGGCTAGAACATATTTACACATGGGTGAATGGTGTGTTCTTGCCTTTGATCCATAATGACATTCAGCCGACCTTTCTTTCTGATAGCTGGTCCAAAATCGTTGGTTTGCCTAGGATGAGGCAAGTACGGGCTAAAGATACAGAGAAAAAATGTTTTCATCCTCACAGCTTTGTGAATAAATTTGTGATCAGTAAAAGCCCCTGTCTTCACAAATACGGCAGTGACATCCAAGAGAAAGGTGACTATGCTGGCACTTGGACAAAGATTGCCAATCATTACGTTTCCAAGGATGCCAGCAGTTATACTGGATTTACTTACCAGCCAAACAAGACTCCATGGGTGTATTACTCATATGGAGATTTGCACACATATGGACCAGCAGGATACACTTTTTACTTTTTCCCTGCAGAAGGAAGACCCAATTCAACGACGAGGCTGGATGTTTTACAAAAGAGCAGTTGGCTTGATGAAAAGACATGGGCTGTGATCATTGAACTAACAACATTTAATCCAGATGTACATCTGTTTTGCTGCATCTCAGTCATACTAGAAGTTTCTTATTTTGGGATCATCAACCCAAGCTTGTCAGTACATTCTTTTGCTCTCCCCATTTTTCAACAGCAAACTAAAGCTCAAATGTTTGTGTTTGTAATTGTCCTTGCCTTTCTCTTCATTTACATTGCAGACGAGCTTCACACCATAGGCCAAAAAAAGAAAGAATATATTAAAAATATTTCCAATATAATCAACTTAGGTTTAAAATCAGTATTCTTCCTTTTTGTGTTTTTAAAGGTCATAAAGTTTAAGATGGGAGCAGATATTGTGAAATTTTATTTACTTCATCCAAATGATTTCATTCATTTTCATGCAGTTTCTCATTTAGATCAGATTTTAAGGATTACTATGGGTTTTTTAGCATTTCTAGCAGTTTTGAAAACTCTAAGATATTCCCAATTCTTTTATGATGTGCGCCTGGCACAAAGATCTATCTTGGCAGCTCTTCCTGGAATCTCCTCCATGGCCCTGGTGGTGGTGGTGTACTTCTTTGTATTTATGGCTTTTGGCTACCTTGTGTTTGGACAGCATGAATGGAATTACAATAATATGATTCACTCAGCTCAGACTGTATTCTCTTACTGTGTCTCAGCTTTCAGAGACACTGCATTTTCATCCAACAGGTTACTGGGTGGTCTTTTCTTAGCCTCGTTCATGTTGGTGATGATCTGTGTCTTGATCAATCTATTCCAAGCTGTTATTATGTCAGCTTATGAAGATATGAAACAACCTGTGTATGAAGAACCATCTGGTGAAGCAGAAGTGGTTACTTTTCTAATTAAAAAGCTCAGAAAGATATGGTATCTTCTGATCCATAAAACACCCAGAACAGGTGACCCAGATCTTCTTCACAGTGTACTCTATGGGCACCCTCAGAGGAGACGTCACCGACATTTAGGGCTCAAGAAAAGAAAAATCAATGGCAAAAAAATGGTTTATCTTGTCATATGAGCAAGGCAGGATTTTGTATTGAGGACTAACTTTACTCTGTGATATTTATTTTTTCAAATAAATGCTCATAAATGTTTAAGATAACTATTTTTTTTTAAAGAAATTCCTAACACTCAACCACTTGCTTTTGATTGTGCTCAGATTTTCTCTAGAATGTTTTGCATCCATTTCAGAGGTACATTACTGTCATGGAAACTGGTACCAATTTGACATAGACAATGAGTAAAGAACAAGCTCAGTAGACTACGAATGGTAATCTTGCCTCTGGCTAAGAGTGTCTGAGCATAGCTATGCTAATAGAAGACTAAAAATGGCCAGAGATCTGAAAATGTTGATAAAATCTTTACTACTCAAAGCATAAAGAGTAAAAAAAAAATAGGATGGTTTATTGTAGTTTGACCTGGCATTTAAAAATAGAAGTTCTCAACACTACATTTACATGTGTATGCAGATGACATTGATACAGTATAACTTTTGGAAGTCATTAATGTTAGATTATAAAATACTGTTACATAGCCTAAGGGCGTTCAGTAGAATTTTGTATTTTACAACTTTATCTGGACACTAGTCAGTATGTTACTTTATATAAGTGAAGGCTATCCAAGGTAAATAGATACAGGCAAGAAGAATAATTTGCTTTTATCTCATCAAATATAAAATAAATAGAATTACTTGGAAAAATACCAGTCAGCTTCTTTTTCTGTCCACTTAATTTGTTTGACTTACAAATTGGATATACAACAAAACTTTTCATCCTTAGTGTTAATGATCTAGACTATCCCTGTGTAGTCATTTCTTGTACAGAATCCCTTTCTCCTTACTTGAATTTTTGTTACCCAAAGAAATTTCAGGTCCATATTTTGTTAGAAAAAGTGAGGGGCTTACTGTAAAAACCTCTGACATTACACATTCAGGTAACATTTTTGATATTACATTTTGTGTTTCAACAAAGTATAGGAACATTATTGTAATGATGATTATGGGAACATTATTTTAATGACTAATTTAGTGATTTTGAACATTTATCTTGCTGTACACATGCAGAAGAAAATCAAACCTTGCTGGTCAAGTGGTAAAATATAACTACTCCGTATTCCAAAAATTGTGGGCATACTCCAGGCAATGTACTTTGACTGTAAATCACAGAAGGTAGCTCATAGAATAAATTGCCGATTTCTTTTCTACAGTACATGATGGACTGTGATGAGTTCTTAAGTGTTTTCAACTCGAGAGTTCAGTGCACGGTAAAAATCATACAGTCCCTTAAAGTAGCTTCCTGATTCCCGAAATCTTTTTCATCTTACAATTTTATCACTTACCAATATATCTGTGTTTTTTAATGTAGAAGAGGCTTTGCTATGCAGTTAATTTCTGTGGGGCATTATAACTGATGCGTTTAAGTGTTCCGTTCAGGAAATGGGACGGAGCAACAACCTGGGGCAGGTTTTTACCTCCTGCTTCCGAAGCGAGCAGTGACGTGAGGCAGGAAGCGCGGGGCGCGGGCTGCCGCCCCCTCGCTGCCTCACAGCAGCGTGGAAACGCAGCTTGTCGCCCCAGGCTTAGCGGTCAGGTGTCGAGCAGCATTTTCGGGCGCTACTCCATTTTAGGAACTGGAAATTTGGGTATTACTTTCTGGTCAGAATGTTTTTGTGACTTAATGTACGTGGCTTTATCCACAGTTGAAGAAAGCTATAAGAGCAGGTTACTTGATGCTTTTTTTTTTTTTTAACCCTGAAAGGCGTAAAAGCTCATTGTCAGAGTATACACTAATGAGAATAAAGGTTTTGATTCCTTTATCATTTTAATGACCTTTCTTACCTGGCAGCTCATGAAACCAAATGCAAATCGGTAAAGCCCAATGGTTTAACTCCTGACATTTGTAGCAGCCATGCCCACTGTGCAACTGCTCATCTTCCCCATCACTATTCTTGAATTAACCTTGCTTCTGCTCCATTTATTCAGAAATTGCTCTGTAATGAATAATTTTTTCTAAATTTCTCCAGAAATGTGTGGAAAATTCTGGTGGCCTGACACTAGGGTTCTTCACAGATTTCTAGAAAACTGGACCGTCTTATCCACCCAGTGTGAGTCAGACCCTGTCTGCAGCACAGGCTTCTCCAACTTGCTCCTGTTTATCTTCCACATCTAACAAGGCCACTCTAAATATGGTCCCACAGAAAACTTTCTTCACTCTTTGCCTGAATATTCATAGGACTTGGGACCATCACACACAAGCTGAGTATGGCAACCTGTGAGGTGTAGTTCCAGAGCAATACTGGAGTTATACTCAACACATAAGAGTGCTATCAAATACTTTCCAAGCCATTTTTCTGGAAAGGTGTAAAGCAAGACAAAGTTTGTGAGGAAAGGCATTATCTTTTTTAAGACCAACTGGTTTAAAAAAAAGGATGGACAGATTTTGGGGCCCAAGCCTTTCTTCAGGTCTTAAAGTCTCCTGGGATTAAGTGGCATAAGTTTTGTTTTTCCTTCTGGCTCATTTTAAATTGGAAAGGTTTTCTAACTTTCTTGCTCAAAACTTAGAACTTGTCCAGAAGTGAGGCTATTACTGCTAATAGATAACTCCACTATCCCTGGTAAAAAAAAAATCTGATTTCTTAGCACTGCCTCATGACAGAATAGGGCTTGCTTATACTAATGGTGTGTTGCATCTATATAGGTGGTTTCGACTAGCATGTATTTTCCAAACCATTCAACTAGCTGGAAAAATGAATTTAACCATGTTCAGGTTTATGTGTCAATTAAAAAAGTGGTTAGAGATCAGAGGCCAACTTAAATTCAGCCTGCTTTTATGGTGACCCTGTCATCCCTTCTGCATACTGGCCTCTTTCCAGAAGTTCTGTTCTATGGCAAACAAATTACTAACAAAAAAATAGAAAAGCAGTCTGTCACAGTTCATATAAAAATTTAATGAGTATGCTTGTGCTTCTGCCCACACAGATAGAATATATAATTAATAGAGTAAGAACCCTTAATAACTATCATAGAGAAGTCTTTAGCCAGTTATAAGCTTGCAGCTGTAATCCTCCCCTCTCTAGAGACGCCTGGAGATCATTCAAGCACTCCAGTCATGTCTAATTCTATAAAGTTTCCTACATCCAAACTAATTGGGGAATAACATTTTATTGGCTGCTTAGGTGAACTGTTATCTGTTTTGTTTCTATTAGTCTTTACATAGGGCTGTAGGAGCTCTGGAAGTGAGAAACTTTTTCATGAATAATTATGATCTGTTCAACTTTGAGTTCAACTTGAATATTACATCAGCCCGTTTTCTGTTTGGGGATGCTGGTGAGGCTGTGTAGCCCAGTTCCAAGCATTACAGCCAAAGGATAAAGAGGTGCTCTCCTGAGGATTTCAGTTAATATTTCATAATTTGCTCGTTCCTTGTTGAAATTTGGTGACCAGCAACTTTTTATTATCTGCAGCAGCTGCAACTAATTCCAGACAAAACAGTGACCTTCTCACTTCCAGAGTCTCACGTGGATAAAAGGCAAAGCTTTCTTTTACACCCTAGAATATACTTTGCAAGGTTTTATTATTAGACCAAAAAAAAAAAATCTCTTGACTTCAGCTTGTAAAAGGGTTCCTCTCAGGCAGGACAGTATAGTCATGATTTGCAGTCTTCTCCGCTCTGAGAATTATTAGTGCCATCTGCGATACGAAGGCGCTGCTGCCCCCCAGGCCCCCGGCCCGGACCTCGCCGCACCCGGGACCTCCCCCCCC